CCCCGGTCAGCCAGGAGGCGGATGTGGAGGAGAACAGAGCCCCCACCCCCCCACCCCCGGGTGAAAAAAAAAAAAAAACTCCCTCTAAAAAAAAAAAAAAAAAAAAAAATTGCTTTAGTTGCAAAACCAGGAGGAAAACATGGTATTCCTGGGAAATTTTTGTTAATTACTAGATAATGCACCTGATAATTTTTGTTAGTTACTAGAAAGAATCACTGGTACATTTCACATACGATCCTTCCTCCTGTCTTCAGCTCATCTTTCCATTTTTGTTTTTGCATATTTTACATTATACCTAATTTTATGCCATCTTAAATTTTCTTGGTGACTTAGGTGACGTATGAATAAACAAATAACAGTGTTATTGATGGAAAACGATTTTGTTCTAGGGAATCTAAATTACTTGGTACTCAGCCCTTGTCAATGGTTATCTGATTATTCTATCAAAGGATACAGGCAGGAGACTACAGTGTGAAAAAAAATTCCAGATGTCTATAAATTCTATCCAGAGTTTCTATCTGGATTATTCCAAGTTTCAAATAATCCAAGTATGAACAAGTTGGTTTTGTCACAGCAAATGCAATGATTGTGGACAGTGGCTGAACACAGAACTATGAGCATCTTAATAGCCAATACTGTGTCCTCTCATTAGACATTATCACTTAAAATCACTGAAGATATATGTGCATTCCTGGGAATTTACAATTCTCCAGTACATGGCTTAATAATTTACATCTGATTTAACACAGAGAACTTTGTGATAAATGTTAAACAAAAACAGTTATGCTCATGGCATGAGGTTATTTTTCCAAGTGTTGATTTCTTAATTTTAGTTTAAAAAATTATATGGATTCTCTGTGACATGTGAAGAAATGTTTCTCTTGTTTCTTTTTACCCCTAGCTTTGAAGCCTATAAAAAGGTATGTTTTATAAATGTTTGGCATATATATTAGTAAGGGCAGCACAGTGCTGGTATCCAAGTCTTTATTGAAAAGCATCATCTACAGGCATTAGGAGTAAGTACATTATCTAAACAAATTCCCAGCTCTGGAGCTGTATAGTAGAGGAAGTAAAACATAAACAGCACTACAGCTACTCTCCAAGATGAAAAAGATGTAACAGCCCTTCTATCTCCCCGGAAAGGGATGTTATCTCTATGAGGTATAATTTGACGTCTAAAGCATATTTTGTGCCTGCTAATTGATAAGGCTAATATTTACCTTAGATGAACGCTATAGAATTGTCAGAATAATTAATTATTGGACAGTAATCAATTTAATCAGACAGCAGCTTCTTTTAACTATACGGCTTTAAAAATTGGCTAGACGAATCCTGCATCCCTTAGTTATTTTGCTTGGATGCTAGAATTGTCTGAGACTGTTATGAACTAAACTTCCCAAACATGTGGGAGCCAATGACCTATGACTACAGATCAGTTTCTGTTGAACTGGAGTTTTGGATTCTGGTTTGATCGGGACAGCTCTTTGTTGATACAATCTGAGTATGGGTAGAGGAGTTAAAGGAGCAAGCAGGACACATTTTCCAAACTATAGAGGGACTAGAAGTATATTCTCCTTTAATCCCTCATCATACACTACATGCCTGCCTTCTCAGCTCTATTTTAGAGGAAGGGCTTGATAGCTACTTTTCTTCAGTTTTCTTCCTACTATGCCAATTCATATTTTATTCACAGTCAATTACATGGCTGTTAATAAGAAAAATGACTGCACTATGAAAACATAAAGCACTTACTTTGCCTGCAAAAATGGCCAAGAAGTCTTAAAATAACAACTTTGGTAATGCACACAAAACCATATAAAGTCAATACTATGGATGTTACTAAAAGAAAGCAAGATAAGCATAAATTATTTCCAGTTGGTGCAAAAGCTTGAATATACATCAATGCAAATGCTTGAAGGAAATATTTCAGGGTCAACGGACTGAGGGAGGGTTAATGGGAACAAAATGACTGTGTCAGACTCATGATATGTTATTTTTCATAACCTCTTTTCCAATAAATATGCCAATAAATGTGCATACCTTGATAGAATAAATCTCATGTCCACTGCCATTTTCTGTTTGATATATGATACTCCTTTTGATTATAATGAGTTATCTAAAATGTAATTTCCTTTAATAGACATTACTCATAAATCTTCTTAGGAAGGATCTATGTTCTAATGCCCAATTATAATTTTGCTAATCTATGTCCCACCAAATATATCTTTCTTGTATTTTACTCCTGGCCCTGGTATTTGAAAACTCACTCAAAATACATACCTCACTTTTGATAAAAAGGCTCTCTGGCCAGAAAATAATAAGTTGAAACATTTTAGAGTGACATTTGAAATGCTTAATTTTCATGCAATGATATAAGATAATCCTTACAATACCATTGAGTAAGATTATGCTGTTTTTGTTCTAATAAAACTGAGAAATGTACCTTTTAGGTGGACTAAGGAAAATAAAAAGTTTCCAACAAAAACAGTCATCCTGCACTTAAACATAAGAGTACATCCACAACAAATTAACTTGTACCTCTTCTATTTTCTTCTGCATAATCTTCCATTGACTTTCCCATTCCTTTCTTTCATTGTCAAACTGGTCCAGTAATTCCATCTTTTCCTTATGCCAGTTAGTCTCTGTGTTCTCCCGCTGCTTATGTAGGTCCATGGCAACAGTGTCAGTGTCAGTGAAGAAGTGTTTCTGCTCCTCTCTGCCTCCTCTTAACTGTTTCTTGGAAGCTTGAAGTTGTTTTATTTGAAGCAGTCTCACTTGCCTTTAAAATAAAGCCTAATATAAACATAACAAGAGAGAGTTCCAAATCTATGTGCTTTCTGGAAATATATTTTATCATTTTGTCGAGCCACTGACATAAACAAACTATAGGAAAATTGGACTCAAAAGAAAAGAGATGACAAGAGTCTACTTAAGAAGAAGAAACTAACACAGTCAATAAAGTAATAAGTATTGTCCAAAGTTTTTTTTTCCCTTTCAGAGACCAGACAGCAAAATTATAGTGGACAAGATAATTAAATGCACATGTGAGACAATCATTCCTTTAACCACTTATTCTAAAAATAGATTTTTTCATGGATATCTAAGAGTAGAAGTACACAACTCAAATGTATGGTCACATCTACACACTGTGGCAGATTCTGCTGCAATAAAATTATTTTTTTGGTTCTAATACAACCTGATTATATATTCTTATGACTTAAATTCCTGAGCCAGAGCTGGGTTGCAATCTTAATTCTACATTCAGAGATCAAGCCTGTGCCAAATGTCATTACTGTGTTACTTATTAAGGCCCCAAAGTTGGTAGTCCACTTGGGACTGATGTACCATCCAGAAGCTAACCTAAATTATATTTAAAAATTCATTATGTCACTTCATAAAGGAAAATCTAGAAGCATCAAAACTATACTGTGAAATATATGTTAAAATTTATCCATACTCTCTTTTCCGTTGAATAGACTATACACCTGACATAAACTGCTTAGGAAATTGAATACAGAGAACTGAAGAAAACATGTAGCTCAGTTTTCAGGGAATCCTCTATTACATTAAGTAGTGACTAAAATAATGAAATTTCTAGCATTCAATGTATGCGTATTTAAGGTTTGAAGTGACAATTTAAAATACCAGCTATGTAACTCTGGTACAAGTCTAAAATTTCTGAGATTTAGATTTTTACATTAACAGTCATAGAGCTGTTAAAAAAAATTAAATGGCATACTGAATCCAAAGTATTTTGAGAAATTTAAGAAAGTTTTCTATTTTTGGCTTTACAAAATTTTGTTTTGACTTCAATTAAAAATAATATTGTATTAGTCATGTGCCTTTTTAGGAGGTAGAAATGTTTGAATCTCTGTGTAAGATAATTATGCCTACAAGATGTCTAACTTTTCAGTCACTAGGCCATTATCAATTGCTATGACTTACTGGTGGCAGCTTATGCTAATTACAGACAAAGATCCTAATAGTCAGTAGCTTTGTGGGTTCTGGCATTGCCAAATTAAGCCCAGATACCCAAGCAGCAAGTGCCAATTTTGTATTCACAGAATATAACGGCATATTTAATATCCTAAATGTAAGGTAAATATCGAAGACTAATTTTATTTTTGTCAGACTGTTCTGAACATACATATCTGAGTGGTAAACAGTTTTGAACATATATTTTTTTGAGTCACAGTTAATGAATTAGAATAGAATAAGAATAAAAAAATTAGCTATATATGCAGGGTTCTACCTTCAAAAACACCCTAATAATTTTGGAATCTATATTGTAACTCTACTCTTAAACTTTATTTGCTAAAGACAGTTTGATAATTTTTTCCTATGTCTTTGGCACTAACAGTATTATGATTAATTCAGTCAAGAAAAATATATAATTTCAGATCTATTAAAGGTGCTATCATGTCTCATTTTATCTACTTAGCCATGCTCAATTTCTAACCTCATTTTTCCACCCCCTCTATCACTCCTTTCTTCTGTCTTTCCCTCTTATAAGCCAGTAACCTCAAGTACTGGCCATAATAAATGTCAATGAAGAGCAAACAAAATGAAGATAGTAAAGAACATAGTTTATTTTTATTTTTTTTTTAGCTAATCTAATTTCCATTGATCTTGATTACCTAGTAATCTTTTAGGTTCATCTAACAATCTTTCATAGGAAATGCAGATAATATTTGTCTTGAAACTAGCAGACTGCTTTAAAACTATATGTAATTAACTGTGTGGTGAAACTACCCTGCTGACTAGAAAGTACTTGCCACTGGAACTTCTTAGGAAGAATGGTGTGGTTTGAGATAATAAGAGATAACTGCAGATTTAACCAAGAAGCTAAAAAAAGATGAGGACTAATTTCAAGCTACCTGGAAAAGAGGAGCTATGATATTCCATGTTTTATCCCAACTGTCTTTAAACACTGGAAATGTTCAGAAATCACCATAAAGTCTTTTCTACAATTATGTAGCAAAAGGCTCCAATTTTTCCTTCTATTCCTAACTCTTTTTGAACTGCTTCCACATGACTGTTGAAAGATGCCAGACCTTTCACTTTTTAACCTATCAGAAGATCATCCAGGAATACCCTGAATAAGTCTTGCTCCTGGTAAAAGGACTATATCTAAACCCAGGTAACAGTCCTGAAGCAGACTGAATCCTGCACCTATTTGCAAAGAGCCAAACTCATCACTTAATATGGAGAAGAGCCAATCTATGGAGCTTTTCCTTTCCAGGCCCAGAGCAATTGCTAGTGCCAAAAAATGTAATAGTTATGGATCAAAAACAAGCATTTGCAAGAACATTTCTATAGAGCAATATCTGTGCCAATTTTTTTGTGGAAGAATTTAGCCTTATTAGAATCTTAGTCTTGTCATAAATATAATGTTAGATGTAATACAGCCAAACATATTGCTTCCACCTCTAAATATAAAGCGAGGGGCCATAGAATTGTTTTGGAGATTAAATGAGCAAAAGGGAAGATGCTTAAGAGAAGTGCCTAAACACTGCTCTGGATCATAGCAAATGCCTAATACATACTTGCTTCTTGTTTTCTTCCTTCCGTCCCTTGTTCCCTCCCTCCCTCTTCTTGTCTTTCCTCCCTCCTTCCCTTTCTCTTCTCTTTTCTTCATCTATCCCTCTCCCTGTTGTTATCTAGAAAAAAACCTGATTATATTGATCTTTATTTTAAAATGAGATAGAAGCAAATGTAACTGTGAACGCTCATCTTCTCCATGATCGCCTTTTGCCTTTTTCAAGTATTTTAAGGATACATGTCAAATTAAGTATTTAAAGAAGTTTTATTGTTAGTAAAAAGTTGAACAAATCTTATGTAAAGCTGCTTTTGTTATAAATCTGACTTAAATATTACATAACAATCAACTAAAGGGGCAACTTTGTAGAGACATAATGTTTCGTAATGAGAAGTTATGGTGTGAAGTGGTTCAGCAGATTCAAAACTTGATTTAAGTGCTCTCTACCGGGGCAAAAATAAAAGTTCTTTTTGTTCCTAGTTGTCACTCATTTTCTCCCACAGATACTGGCATCTATGTGGGAGAGAAGGAAGGATTTCTGCTATCTGTGCCCCTACCCCATATCTCTTTGACTCTCTGGCTTATGTTGTTCCTTCTAGAATTCCATTCCGAATAAAAATTTATTAGAGCAAATGTAAAAGGACAGAGTGAGCGGCATTACTTAGTTACACACCCCAACTCTAGACCAGCATTGCATAATCCTTTTTAACTTACTTCCCCTTTCCAAGGGCTGAAAGCCAGAATTATAAAGAGTTGTGAGTGGGTTGCGTAAGTATGGTGATGAGAGGCAAATAGTTCTGCTAGCCTTCCGGCCCTACCAGTAAGCAAACTTTAAGAGTAACATACAAGTCTCACAAGAAATTGTTTTCATCCCCCAAATTATCCTCAGTTTGGACATGGCAGCAATTCTTTCTCTGAGAGGGGCTCCATTCTTAGGGCACCTTGGTCACTACCCTTTCAACCTCCATCTCGCCCACTGAAAACTGGATTATAGCCAAACAAACTCGACAGCGCTCCTTAGGGGTGGCTGCTCCATGTCTACTTTTCTCTCTCTTTTTTTTTTCCTTATTAAAGATAGGGTTTCACCATGATGGCCAGGCTGGTCTTGAACTTCTGACCTCAGGTGATCCACCCACCTCGGCCTCCCAAAGTGCTAGGATTATAGGTGTGAGCCACCACGCCCGGCCTGCTTCTCTCTTTTTAGATTATTGTTTAGAGTACTTGTTTCTTGCTGTCCTTTTTCCCTTTTGCTAAACATATCACTTTTCATATAATTAAAGACTTTTCATTTATAAGAGGATACATATTCCTATAGAAATGCCACACATAATAGGTGCTGCTACTCTCATAATTCCTAGAATACTCATTTGGCCTGAAGATGCTTTACTTCTGATTAACTTTGAGGGATTAGGAATTTCCAGGCCTATAACGTATCACAGTAATGTACCATTTACCCCCTAAATTATTTATCCCTTTCTCCAGGCTATAATGAATCACTTGAATTATTTCAACTAATAGATCTCATTCCTCTCTGTTTTTCACTTGCAACTGAATCTTTCGAAAGACCACCATGATTTGATTTTGTTACAGGGTAAAAGGGAAATTTTTTTCATTGCTGTTTATTGCTATTTCCACACATTCCTCATGCTCCAACAAGGTCAAAGAGACACTACCACATGCAATTCCAAATGAATCAACTTTATTGTCTCATTTAATTATCTTCTTCCTTGTTTTCTTTACTCAAATTAGAAAACATCCAAGCTGTAAGCACACTGATTTTACTTAAAAAACGCAAACTTTAAAAGCAAACGTCTGGTTTGAGTAAACAAATGTCTAAAACAAACTATCATGAACAAAATACATAGTGGTAAGCTTCCCTCCTAACCATAGATTATCCAATTATAAATGGCATAGACGTCAGCTCAAATTACAGAAACACTCTACAGTGAATCCCCCACCACCTTAGATAAAACTAAAGTTTATTTTTCGCTGCAATTTTCAAATACCAACAGTCTCAAGGATTGTGAACTTTCATTTGCAAATGTTAAAAGTCTTCATACTAATTAAAAAACCACATTCAAATAAACATACTTAGTGAAAATCAATGATGAGCAAAGTGCTTTTCAAAGAACTGAGAAGCAGTGTTGGAAAAACAGAGTCTCAGACAGCGAATGGTACTGTCAGTCCAGAGTTGGGAAACCTACCCGCAGCAGCTGAACAGCATTTTTCCTAAGAGTCAGTACAATCTGTTATG